GATTGTGGGTGCGAGTTCCCAAAGGCAGCTCCCTGAGCCCACAGGGCTGCAGAGATGGGCGCCTGGACTTTGGCCCACGTGGGGACGGGGCGGGGCTCCTCGAAGCTCCTCCCTGCAGGGCCACAGGGCGGACACAGGAAGGGCCAGGGAACCTGGGGACCCACCTGCACCCCCACCTTGGCTCACCCCCTCCGTTTAGAAGGGGCCTTCCTGAAGATTGGGGGATACAGGTCAGAGGTGAGAACCCCAAGAATCGTAAGCAATAACCACCTCCTCAGAAGGAAAAGCCTCTGTCCCCACAGTAAGAGGGGAACTGGACACCCACCATCCCATCCTGACCAGGGGCGCCACCCTGCGGCTGAGGCTGTGCCGGGCAGGGGCAGGGGGAGGCAGGCTGGGCGGAGGGGGTCAGGGGAGCGGGGGAGGGGGGAGGCAGGGCCGAGGAGACACGCAAGGGCTCACGCACCCTTGTGCAGGACAGCATTGGCCGGCTTGTTCCCGGCCAGGGACTCCCTGGACAGGTGCTGGTGGCTCTCAGCCAGGCACTCCACCTCGGCCAGGCGGGCATTGAGGGCCATGGCAGGGTGGTTAGGGTCCTGGGTCATGTTGAGGTACGCCGCCCTCCGGAGCTGCTCCTCGATGACCAGCGCCTGCTCCAGCAGCTGTAGGCGACACTGCGTGTGGGCCTCCCGGGCACCTCAGCGGCGAGGCAGGGAAGCCACGCTGCCACCTGTCGGCCACCCACTCTCATCTTGGCTCCCCTCACGGCCCACCAGGCCGGCTCTCTGCACCCGTCACCCCGAGGCAAGGACATGGCGGGGGCCTGGCCAGAACAAGGGCCCAGCCGCAGCTGATGGACCGGCCCCCTTCCATAGGTCCATCACTCACCGGGAGGGGCTGCCCCTCCCTCCTCCGACTTTCTCGCCACCCCACCGCAGCCTCTGGCCTGCCAAGAGCTGACCTTGAATCTGCGACTGACCTTGAACCTGCGAGCCAGGAACTTGTTCTTCATCTCCAGGTAGTTGCCTTTGTGAGCCTCAGATTTAAAGGGCTCATTGAGGATCACGTACCTCGGGTCATTCTGGATGTCCTGCCAGCGGGCGTAGCCATGCCTGGGTGGGCACCGTTAAGGGCAAACCGGCCACAGGCAGGGAGAGGGGCCCAGCTGGGGTCCCCTGAGCTGCACAAGGGCTGACGATGACAAACCACCAACAGGGGCTGGTTCAAGCCCTCCGAGCCGAGGCATGACCTGAGGCCCTGCGGGTCAATGCCTTGCCCCCGCGGCCCAGCAGAACAGATGTTCCCATCCTCACCCCAGCCCCTGTGACTGTGACCCCATTTGGCGATAGGGTCTTTGCAAGTTCAGAAGGGGCCACAGAGTTAGGGTGGACATTAACCCAGTGACTGGTGCCTTTTTATAAGAAAATAAAATTTGGACACAGACGTACACCTGGGAAGGTGAGAGCAGAGACAGAGTGGAGGGGTGCGGCTGCAAGCCAGGGACACTAGGGGTTGACAGCCCGCACCAGAGCCGCAGAGACAAGAAAGGGCCTGCCCCCCGACTCCAGAGAGAACAGGGAGACACAAAGTTATCTTGCCCACAGTCAGCAATGGGCAGTCAGAATATGAATCCCCGCAGGCCGGCTCCAAACATCTTAACCTGTAAGACAGGGATCTGTAAACTATGGCCCACTGGCCAAAGCCAGCCCACAGTCTAATTTTGCAAATAAAGTTTTATTGGAACACAGCCAGCTCCCTGGCCCGCAGATCACCCATGGCTGTGTTCACTACAATAAGCAGAAGTCACTCTGCAAAGTCTGAAATAGCTACTCTCCTGTCCTACAGGGAGTCGCCAGCCTGTTCCACAACACTCCACACTCACTGAACAACCAGTTCCATTCCAGGGTGTCGAGAAGACCAGGTTTGCTGGGGGCTCTCCCTGGATAGCTGTCATCATTGTATCATCACCACCTCTATTACCATCACCACCACCATCATCACCAACACCATCATCACCACCATCATCACCATCATCACCATCACCACCACCACCACCACCACCATCACCACCATCATCACCATCACTACCATCACCACCACCGTCATC